TTAATCACAAAAAATTTTGATTTTGAGAGGCAAATTACATATAATTGAATCTTGAATTATCCGCAGTCGTAACTAATAACGAGATACCGATATTATTATAACAGTTAAATCATCACATGTGGCATTTTCTCACTTTTGAAGTGTGTAGCTAATCTCACAAGTTAAAATATAGTAACATTTAAATGAACAAGTGGATGTTTTGTTAAAGATCAAAACATCTGAGACCCGCTGAAGCGATTCTATATGAATAATTATTTGAATGTCGGTGGTTAATCTCTAATATTCAGTAGTTGAATTGGTCATTTAACTTGAGGTCATCATAATACCTTGTATGGGAACAATCGTACTTTGATGATGTTGGATGTTGCTCTGCCAAAAATCGCTAATCCAATATCGTTTGAGTTTGTCAAAAATTGTGTGAAGATTGTGAATGATCAATAGAGGATTCGTCACTTTTAGAGATTATAATCTACATTTCATTCAGTTAAGTCTATAATGAAACCCTTGGCCAATGTGTACTCATAAGTCCAAAAGAGTTTTCGCCTTACAATGACTTAATAGCGGAATGAAAAATATGATCGATAATCAAGATTGACACACTTTCAATCTTGTAATTGATTGGATCATATTGACGAAGATATTATAGTTTCACGGTAAACGAACAAGTTTGGTTTGATCATACTGCGTGACATTTTCCATCATATTATCATCCTGACATATTGTTAGATGTCAACAATCTAGGACGATGGATGTGAATTAGTGATAAATTAAAAATGGGACATTTTAATTTATCAACTTTTATTAGATCAAAAGAATAATTCACGTCCTTAGGTATCATGATTGATAACCTAATGGATTACAAACAAAAGGAACTAAAATATGATATTTATCAATTAATTAATTGAAAAGTGTTGAACAATTAATTAAATTGGGTTGCTTATTAATAACTCCGAATCAATTAATTAAATTAATTAATTCATGAACCAAATTTAATTAGATGAGTTAATTAAATATTGGACTAGGTCAAATTTAAGAGACGAAGGCTTTTATTAATAGGCTACTAGGGTTTGAAAAATTATAACACAATACAATTATATTCTTTCTAGTACAAAAAAAGAAAATCATAGTTCTCCCAGTCTTGTTTCTTTGTGTGGATTTTCAAGCAGGCTGAATGATTGGACAATTGTAGATTGTAGTTCATAATTTTCTTTAATGAATTCATTAAATGTATAATTTTCTATCACAGTTTTCATCTAAACAAAAAGCAAATCCTTGATGGGAATTCAAACCTATTTTTATTTTTTATTGTTCATGATTAAGTAAATTTCAAACAAAAATTGCATAACAATTCGTATTAGTGCTCAATTAATTAAAACGCATAAAACATCTAACAATTATTTAAAACCAAACATGTGTTACAAAGTAAAATCTGGAATTAAATATCAAAACTTTTAAATGTAGGATTTAACATTATCCTAACATCTATACAATTAGCTAAGTATCAAATTAATTACAAAAATGCAATTTAAATGATACAACATCACCCGAACTTGAATAATGAAAGAAGAAGGAAAGAAATCATGAAGTTCTTGTATCTCTTCAGACTTTCCTTGATCAACCCCATTTGATTCTTCTTCTTCTCAACAAGCTTCTATAAAGCTACGAATGGATGCATGGAATTGTAAAACAAAGCTTCCTTATTGGCTCTCTTCAACGAAATATTTATGAAATTCGAACCATAAGAGCCTATGTGACTTGTATAATGTGTATAGTTAATCACCACAAGTCTCATTCCAATTGTCAGACTAAGATATGTATTTATAGAACTAATATTTAAGTAAAATTTGTGTCCCAATTGATTTTCAAAAAATAAATAGGAAATATCTCATATGGCCATACTAGCATGGTTCAAATTCTTGCAATCACATGGTTACAAACCATAACATTTTTTCTTAATAATATGAACTCTTATATGTCACAAGGTTTAAATCCATGTGATCGCATGGTTATAAATTTCATCCTCTTCCGCATCAATTCATGTTGTCCT